CCCCCCCCCACCAAACCTGGAATGTTCCTCCTACACGCCTGCATTCCAAAGCAGCTTCCTATCTGGTACCCCCGATCCTCAAACCACTCAGGCGGCTGCCCCCACTTCTCAGAAATGGAAACTGAGTCCCCAGAAGGATTCTGAGCTCAGGTCTGCCTCGGCCAATATTCTTTCCTCTACAAGGCTGGGACCAGCCCACCCTGGTGACGGGGGAGGCAGGGCAAGACCCCTGGGGCCCACCGCCCAGGCGTGAACTCCTGAGGAGGGGGCGCCTCATCACGCTTGGCTCCTTCCCAGAATGCTGCCTGAAGCCCCCTCCCTCACGGGAGATGGGGTGAGAGAGGGTGCGTCTGCAGAGCCTCACTGGCCTGACAGCTGGTTGCCATGGAAACGGTGGAACCAGGCGCCGGCTCTGAGCGCTGGCCCGGCCCCTGCCCACTGGCTTGCTCAAGCCCCCAAAGTCCTCATTCTGACTCTTCCCTCTGCCCAAGTGGGGAGAGGGGCACTCTGGGCGGCCGGGACTCGGCCTCGGTTTACCCGTCTGTTGCTGGGGAAGTATTCCGAGTAAGGATCCTTTGGGGGACCTCTAGGTGGCAGGAAAGGGGGGCAACCGTTGGCCCGTCCTTACCCAGGTCCCCAGGCACAAGCAGTACCCTCCCCAGCTCCCCCGGTGCCTGGGGCCTGCCTGGAGGAGGATGGGAGAAGAGAATGCTTCCAAACTTGGGGGAAGAGTCTGGCTAACTTCTACCGAAGGAAGGCCTGGGGCTCCACCCACCTGCCTGCCCCAGGAGAATACCCCGGAAGTACACGGGCCACTCTTGGGGGCCTCAGCTGCCAGCTTCCTGGCCTTAAGGCCTGGAGTGGCAGGGCTGGCCCAGAAAGCATGGTGGTAAGAGTGGGGGGTCCTCACCAGGCCATAAGGGCGGGATCCCTAAAGACGTCTCCCCCAGCCCTGGCAGGGCCTCAAGGGATACTTCAGCCACTACAGCAGCTGGACCGCCGCCCCCCCCCCCCCCCCCCCCCCAGCCCTGAGGGCTTCTGGCTAAGAATCCCACATGGCCTGGGGTACCCGACTCGGGGAGACTGGTCTGTTCCACCCTGCCCAGGCCTGGCAGTGTCGCGGGGAGTTGGTGAGCGACGCTCTCACCTCCACGGAACTTCGACAAGAGTGAGGGGGGTGGACCCAGAGTGCTCCTGGCCTGGTCCCAGGAAGTTGGATCCACATGGGTGGGTGCTGAGGGAAAGCTAGGAACGCCCGGACAGCCCGTCCTCCCCCACCCCCTCATCCCCCCCCCCTGCCAGGGAGGGGGCTGCTGGAAGGGCCCGGCCAACACAGCTTCCTGCTACCTTCCTGGAATGCAGGAGTGGAGGAGGCGGACGAGAGGAGGAGCCAGAGAACACCCATCCACCCACGTCTCCCTGCCTTGGCTCCCACCGGCCCCTCCCTGGTGGACACCACCTTCTGAAGGAGGCCTTGGGCTGGCCCAGAAGTCCGGAACCCCAAGTTCCAGTCCCAGCTCTGCCCTGAGCCCGCTTTTCCACTGTAAACCGGGACCACCTGGTACCCAGTGTGCTCCCAAGCCCCGCTCTAGGACCGTGATGCCAGGGCTGGGGGCGGGGGGCGGGGTCCCCGGATATGGTGACCAGGAGGGGTGGGGTCGGGGCACAGGTCACTTACAGCTCCTTGTAGTTTGCGTCGTACAGCGTTGCCCACTTGTTCTGCTGATGCGGTTGCCACTTGATGGATTGGTAGTTGGGATCCAGGTAGGAGCCACTAAGGCTATCATTGTCCTGCAGGAGACCTGGAGGGAGGGAGCGCCCATGTGGGCCCTGCGCCCCACTCCCCAGCTTCAAGGGTTGGCTCCCTGTGAGGTCCAGCAGGCCAGGCACGTACCTGGTGAGGGTGCACCCGGTGGGTGCCAAGGTGGCGTCTGGACCCGGGCGATGCTGAGGGGCAAGGAACCGGGGCCGGGGGAGAGTGGGCCCTGGGGAGGCCAGGGTGGGGAAGGGGCTCGAGCTGGGTGCGGGGGCAGGGTCGTCGTGGTCCCGGGCTCCTGTTTGATCATTCCATTCAGCATCTGGGCATTAAGGGTGTTGGGAGGTGATTCGGAGTGCTTCCTCTTCTTGGAGGGGTGTGTGGGGAGCCTGGGGGCGACACGGGTGCAGGTCTTGGGGGGCTGGCTCTTCCTGAGCCCCCTCCCACTAGGCAATAGCCTTCTTCCCGTCTTCAATCTGTTTCAGCAGGATTTACCTAATCCAGAGGACACCTCCTCCAGGAAGTCCCTGGGCTTTACCTTCTCACTGCAGCCCCCATCACTCTGTGTTGTCATTCTCTATTTCTGTCACTCCTCCCTTCTCCTGAGATTACGGAATTCAAGGAGGGCAGAGGCCACACCTGACTTGTCGGTGTGTCCCCATCATGCCCGGTGATAGGCCTGGTGCACAGCATCCTCAGAATCGTTTGTGGAATGAACAAGTCGGTCCCTTCCCTGTGGTGTCACTCTCAGTGCCACTCTTTATAGTTGGGGGCTCCACAGAGAGCAGCCTCCATGGTCAGAAACAAGCCACAGAAGGCATGGGCCACGAAGGGTGGGAAGGAGAGTTTCTTGGGGAGGAGGCTGCGGAATCTTGGCTTGAACGAAACCTTTCACGACATCTCAATGTGTAAGATAAATAGATAAAAAGATAATTCTGCTGGTTGGAGTCAGAATGGGGTGCTTGGGTCTATGGCTCACACTTCCGCAGGAGGCCCAGGGCTCCACGATCGGGTTAGAAAGTCCCTGGTGTCTGGGAAAGGATACAGCCTGAGGTTCAAGTCCTGGCTCTGCCCCTTCCTAGTTTCACGACCTGGGCAAGCGTTTCCTCCCCTGGGAGCCCCAGTTTACCTATCTGGGCAATGGGGGTGGCCATGCTCACCAAATAAGGTAGTCATAAGCACTTGGCCGTGGCTATAAATCTCCAGCAGGTTTCTGGGCACATGTGCATACGTGTGCTGACCCTCATCTCCTGGGGTCAGAGCCTTCTGCCTTCCTGGTTCGTCCCTGTCCGTACCTCCATCTCTGTCCTGCCTTCTGCTGCCCTGAACCCCGACCCCCAAGCCCACCTGCCCGAGTCTTACTCAGCTCCGTGCTGATTCAGCAGCTGGTGTAGCATCTGGGACTGCTGTGTGTGGTGGAGATCCGTGGGCACCAGCCCCTGCCCCATGGCAGCGTAGGGGGGCATCGGGGGCTCGGCCTTCATGTACAGGTCCCGCTGCAGGACAGGGTAGTGAGGCGGGGGTGGCGGGGGCGGCGGAGGGCCTGGTAGGTGGGCTGGAGGTGGAGGTGGGTGCTCCAGGCGGGAGGGCACTCCCACGTGGCACAGGGACTCAGGGGTAATGGTGCGCAGGAGATGGGGGTCTGCAGGAGAGATGGGGGGGCAATCAGAGACCTCCCTACATCACGCAGGTTCCCGGGCACCAGCTCTCCCCCCCCCAACCGGCAGCAGGGTCTCCTGATTCCCACCTTCTCCTGAACCAAGCCCCGGGGCTGCCCTCCCACCAGCCCCACGTGGGAGGAGGGCTGGGCAGCCTAGAGGCTGGCCACTAGAGGCCTGGGCAGGGAGACAAGACCCTGTCCAGGGGGCGGGCTGCTTCCCCCCCCCCCCCCCCCCCC